GGGGGGGGGGGGGGGGGGGGGGGGGCTTGGGCAAAGACATAAGACATCTCCAAAGCATACACTCAACTGGGACTGTCAGCTCCAGGGTCATGGAGCGGGGGTGGGGGTGGGGTCTTTAGGCACCCTGCTGTTCTGTGTCTTGCCTGGGAATTGTCTCTGTAGTGTTACTTACAATAGCAGACTGAACCAGACACCCAGAGGGCCCAGCAGAGAACTAAAAGAGGATCATGGGACCCGCAGGATGCCCCTGGATGGGGAGGCAGCATGAAGGTGCAATGCCAGCTTCACACATAGAAGCAGAGTCACAGCCGAGCTTCCCTGAATGCATGGGGTTTCTCTCCCACGTCTCACCAATCCTCTACCATCTGCAAAGTTTGGTGAAATCTAAGACAGCACCTGGTGAGTGGGGGAGCAAGCGTCCTCCAGTGCCTCAGGAGTGTGAGGACCCGGGCCATGACCCAGGCAGCAGAGGACTGTTTACAGTGAGACTATTTTCATTTCCACGGCAAGGTTACCATGGAGTTTAATTCCTCAAGTGCTCCCTTTGGCATCTGCTCTATAAATGGCTTCGGGTTTGTACCAATATACTCACTGGAGAGAGAATTGCCATTTCTGTGAAGCGTGACTGCCTCTCCCAAAGTTTCCGCCACCTGTCAGCTACTCCTGGAGGAGCTGAAAAGGAGGGGCTGGCCTCATCTGCCATGAGCACAGACTGAGCACCTGCTCCATACTGAATGGGTTGTGAAAGGCAAGGGACATGCCCCTTGAGGGTGCTGTGCTTGGAATCCCCTCTCTACGGAGGAATTGCAGGCAAAGACAGGCTGACCCATCGCTCTGCAACCACAGGATGTTATCCTAAGGGTCTTAGGATCAGATAAAGGTCTACAGGCCCTGGTTGCCAACAAGGGGTGAATGTGAGCTCTGCTAGATACTTGTATTTTCTGATCTGTTTGAGGCAGCCCTCAGTAACTTGTTGCCCAGCTCCTCATTTGCCTAGTCTTCCTGCTTTGGACAATCCACATAGGGACAGCCTCTCAGGTCTAATGAGGATCTGGAAAAGGTTGAGTTGGCACTGTGAACATCTCTGTGGCCTCCATTCCAGCAGAATAAGAGATAGGAAGGATGAGGTACCTCCTAGGCCTCTCTAAGTCTGACACAGCCATAGCACAGCTCACTGCTGCTCCCGACCCTACCCTAGGATGCACAGTTCTTTCCTCCCAGGCTTTTACAACAGCCAGCTGCTGCCACATCCATCTCCCAGGGAGACGAGGAAGAAAGTGGCAAAGGGAGGTCTCTTCATGTCTCTCTAGGAGGTAGAGCCCTTTTGTACACCTTCCATCCAGGGGCTCACCACAGGGCATAGTAGCACAGTGGACTGATTGGGGCCAGCTTCTCGGGGTGGGCAGGCATGCATCCACTTAGGACCTTATAAGACATGTCACCTACTCCCCACCAGCCATAAGGCTATCATCCTCACGATGAACCAGAAACCAGAGCTGGGTGGTCACTAGCACCTTGGATGAGGAGAGAACCAAGGTTGTCTCACCCTGCCCTGAGTCCCCCAGGCCAGGACACATAGAGATTGGAGGGCCCCCAGGTCCACTGGCCCACATACACTCAGTCATTTGCTGGTGGAGATTGGAGGGTCCCCAGGTCCACTGGCCCACATACACTCAGTCATTTGCTGGTGGAGATTGGAGGGCCCCCAGGTCCACTGGCCCACATACACTCAGTCACTGGCTGGTGGCTCAAAGGCACCACATGACAACCCTTCTCTTCTTGGTCCATCTGTCAAAACTTCTGCCAATACCAGGCTCTCAAAGAAGCAGCCCTGCAGAAATGACCTCCTGGTAGGAGACAAACAGCAGCACCACACAGAGCATGCCTACAGGAGCCCTGCAAAAGAGCAGGGAGGCATCAGAGCAGCTCTGAGACCTGCCTTCCCTGCAGGATGCCATTCTTCACAGCACCTGTGTCCTTATCTGTGAAATGGGCCATGGCCCAAGACTCTGGTTACTCCAGGTATCAGACCCCACGCTGTGCCTCTTTTCACCAATATGCACCCATTTCTGGTGTCACCCAGGTCCTCTGACATATCTGGGGCCCAAGACCTGCTCTCCAAAATATACCCATATCAACCCTGGAGGCCAGGTCTTCACAGGTGCCACAAAAAAGGACTCTAAGACCAGGTGCCTCAAAATCAAGA